TTTGGTAACGGAAGGATTCAGCAGAACAAATTAACGGAAAGGCGCATGCATTATCTTCGCCTTAGTAGCAACAATGATACAATAATAGAGTCGTAATTTCATATTTCAGTTTGGAACAATCTATACAAAACGTTTAAGGAAAACACTTCATCTTTTGTTACAACACTTTTATTTTTTTTAGCTTTTACTCTTTCACTATTTACATGTACAATAATGTTGAAATATTTGCTGTTATCATCACCAGCATAATCATCATCAGTGGAGACTGGAGCTGACAGGGCGAATGCACAGCATAAATATTTCGCTTTTGTGAAGCAAATATCACCTTGCAAAAAAAACGGTCACTACTCTTTTTTCATTTTTATTTTATGGTCCTTGTTGCCGGCCTGAACAACCTTTCTACGGATTGCTCGCTGAGTTCGAGGAACACACACACCTAAAAAAAATGACCAAACGGCGGGCGTGCTGTTTTTCATTTTCAGCTCTACGCTACAATCCACAATGACCACAGTGACCATTTATTTCTTTTTGTTCAAAAACACACAACGAAAACTGAAAATCTTTTTCGGCGTATCATGATAAGCAAAAAGTTAACACACACACACACACAGCTCAGCAAGATATAAGATAGAAGCAAACTGAGCAGTAGAGTTGTGTATAAGCAGCGTGTTGTTTATGGCATAATGCTGAGTGATGGGTGATCGGCTAAGGACAACCTCAAGAGCGATGCTAAGGAGCAACAAAACTCGCGATAACATCATCTTTTCGATCATTTTACTTCTGTTTTCAGGTAAGAGATGTTTCTTTTTTTCCGTGCTAAATACCATTGAAGTACTTAATAATTCATAGATCAGAAGAAAGTTATTTAATATTGGCGCGTAAAACGAAGAAAATGTACCCTTCCCTGCCCTCCTTACAGCTTTTTCCCTCGTATTTATTTCCGGAAAATGCCCCGCGGAAAACGCAGGGAAAAGCATATCCGACACTGTAAATTGAAAAATTTTCTGGGTGAGTATACCCTTAGCCTTCGCGCAGACGAACCAGAGTTCGTCTGCGCGCAGGCTAATATACCCCCAGACCCCCCTTTGTACACTTCTAAAATCTCACGCTAAGCTCCGACAATGTATTTACCACGGAGATAAAGATAGTGGAAAGAAGATCGCTATTTAAACGATGCCATATGAACCACGTAAAAGTCAAACCGTTTGCAGGGCAAAGCCAGAGTACATTTATGCTGGTCTGTAACTCTCAGCTCCGTACGGTAGTCTACAAGCTTCTACAAGTCCTGAACTAATCCTGTGCTTCATCTTCTATTCTTCTCAGGTTTTCTGTTTCGTCATGTTGAAGGGGGAAACGATGGTAGGTTTTAAGCAAAGTATATAACATCTTGAAAACATATAAACTATAAGATCATGGAAGTACTCATTCAAGACATTTCACTAGTAAAAATTAAAGTTTGATTTATTATATTAGCTTACTTCATGATTCGCACCTCCAAAAAGTGTTTTTAAAATTCTGTCAATCGAAGACGAGCTGATATTATGCATCATACTTCGTCAAAATAAAATGCATTACCTAGTTTATAGCCTTCCAAACCGATGAAAAACGTTTTTCGACGGCTTAAAACTGGTTATATGAATAAAGCTATAGACTGCTCAGAATATAATGTAATCAAAATTGATCGCACGTTTGAAGTGCGTTTTTTAGTCTATAAATGTCTTCCTGGGATGGAGCCATTGTACTTACTTAAGTCAATTGGTCATTTTGTAGTCGTTCGTTTGGTCAATGGTGGATCCATCTCAGGAGGCCGTGTGGAAGTGTTTCACAATGGAACGTGGGGAACAGTGTGTGATGACTACTGGGACCTTAATGACGCCAAAGTAGTTTGTCACCAACGTGGATATGGAAGAGCTATAAAGGCGTACATATCCGCCGCTTTTGGACCTGGAGATGGAACAATATGGATGGATGACATAAATTGTACTGGTAGTGAGAGATCATTAACAGAGTGTTCTCACAACGGTTGGGGAATAGAAAACTGTGATCATAGTGAAGACGCAGGTGTCCTGTGCTCAAGTAATAAGGACT